ACACACACACACACACACCCACACACACACACACAGACACACACACACACACAGACAGAGTCACAGACACAGACAGAGACACAGACAGAGACACAGACACAGACACAGACACAGACACAGACACAGACACAGACACAGACACAGACACAGACACAGACACACACAGACACACACATACACACACATACACACACATCCACACACATCCACACACCCACACACCCACACACCCACACACCCACACACCCACACACCCACACACCCACACACCCACACACCCACACACCCACACACCCACACCCACACCCACACCCACACCCACACCCACACCCCCACCCACACCCGCACACCACACCCGCACACCACACCCGCACACCACACCCGCACACCACACCTGCACACCACACCCGCACACCACACCCGCACACCACACCCGCACACCACACCCGCACACCACACCCGCACCCGCACCCGCACACGCACACGCGCACGCGCACACGCACACGCGCACCCGCACACGCACACGCGCACGCGCACGCGCACGCGCACACGCACACGCACACGCAGACGCACACGCACAGGCACACGCACACGCACACGCACACGCACACGCACACGCACACGCACAAGTCCCGGAGCCTTTGAGAATCTTCAGTCCCTTCCCGACACCTCCGCAACTTCCTTGGGCCTTCGCAGGGCTTCGCGAAGATAGCGGGCACCGTGGCCAAGCAGGTCCTGAAGGGCAGTAGCTCCTTGATCCAGGAGGCGGCTCTCTCGAAGTTCCCGGCCATAGGAGCCCCAGCCGCAGTGCACCACTCAGCTCAAAGCCTTGTGATCACGAAGCATACGCAGAAGCAGGGGAAGCTCTCGACACTACAGATGGAGGGCAACAAAACGAGAGATGGATGGTCCTTCAAGCTGCACGACGAGGGGTCCAACTATCAGTCCAAGCTGATCACCCAGCCTCTCCACCGCACAAGGAATTAAGACCTGGGACAGACTCCAGAATGCGTGACTGTACCCCTGATCCGAACCCCGCAAGCCAAGGTTCCACGGCTACGAAAGGGACACCAGCTCCTGCTTGGCCTTTGCCCCAAAAAGCCGGCAGCAAGCTGGCCAGGTGAGCGAATCAGACTGGCAGGCGGGTTGTGATTGGGGGTTCGGAGGGGAGATGTTCGGAGTACTTCGGAGTCTTGGCTTCGGCGTCAGGTCACCGACCCGAACGACTTTGTGCAACTGGAACCCTGGGCAGTGCCCTGCGGCACTGACTGGATGAAGGAACACGAAAGCAAGTGGCAAGGTGCGGTGCGTGCTGCATTTTCGGGAGGTAGGGCCAGGTAGGGTGTAGGGGGCAGGGCGGGAGTCGTTCTAGACATGAGGCTTTGGGCGAGGTGCTGCATGGGGCGCTGGGCTTTGCTGACGGCTGACTTGCCGGGATGCAAGTCATCTAGAATCTTTAGAATCTACACCACGTTCTTGGGAGGCTACTCCTTCTACACGGGAGAGCTGAACATCGAGCAGTGCGTGACAGTGTCCTACGGTGTGAACGTGCAGCCTGTTGCTGCCTTTGTGGCCGGGGTGCAGATTGATGTGATGCCCAAGCCATTGGTTACTGTGGACTCGACTGTCTGCTGGCCCAAGCAACGTCCCGACGGCCAGGACCTGAGCATGCTGCGAATGAAGATCTCGTCCAGCGGCGTGCTACTCTTTTCCAAAACACTCCGCTTGGCCAAGCGCTACAAGGACCCCACAGACTTCGTGGACCACCATGGCAACTTGCACCGCACCATGGCCAACTGGGAGCAAGAAACAAACCCGCGAGCTTCGATAAGCCGCACAAAGCTGATGCAGATGGAGGCTTATCAGACCCACAACCAGTCGCACCAGGCTGGAAAGGACGAGGCGGAGCAAGGAGTCTTCGAATGGATGGAAGACGAGGACACCTACCTGGCCTCCGCCAACTACTCCCCAGAGCTTGGGGTGAACTTGACCTCTGCACCTGGGCCAAATAGTCACTCTCAGTTTTCTTGCTTTTGATTGAATTTAAAGAGCGGAAATGCCCCCAGGAACTGCATGGGCTGGAGGCCCAAAAGCGCCTAAGCTTGGCGGCCGCAAAAAGTGAAGGAGCTTCTCGGCAGTCAAAGAGATCGCGCGATTTGCCTGTGCAGTTGTTGACTTAGTTTCTTGAGGGATGTTGAGGGGGAGAGGAGGCGGGGTTCGTGGCGAAAGGTTTTCCAGCTCTTCAACTTCCAGCACGACGGGAGCGTAAGCTTCGATTTCCAGGCCCTTATGGATGGGAAGTTCCTGGAGATGCGCATGCAGATGGGCTTCGGACCTTTCCAGTCTAAGCCGAAGACGGTCAAGCTGGTGGACATCACAAACCAGTTCGAGGTGGTACTGTATGCCCTCCCCTTCATTTCCATGGCCAGCAGGGCCAGGGCCATTGACGCTCTCAACACCTTCACGCACGACATGCCGCCGCCCATCGTTCTGGAGCCCGGCACGACCGTGGCCGTTTGGAACCATTTCTTCCAGCGGTACCTGGTCGGCACGAGCACAGGTGCTGTCGGTTCAGGTCCTACCCACAACTTCGATCTAGGCCTTCCTAACGCTTGGCATCTGGAGCGCTGGACTGTGGTGGATGCGGGCGAGGGCAAGATCGCACTGCACCACCCGAGGTACAATGGGTTCATGAGCCTCGCAGCCTCCGGGCTCTCTCTGAAGCACGGTGCTGTGACGGACTTTCATCCTGCCGGTGGCTGGGAAGCCGAGACTTTCGTCGTGGTGAGTCGGGGTGGTGGGACAGACCTTTTCGGCTTGCAGAACCCGGCGACCAAGCGCTTCGTTTCCTGTGGGGCACACCACGACACCTATGTGAGCCCCCCGTCCGACACCTTCGTTCCAGGATGGACGCATCAGGAGTTCCGTGTGGAGGTGCTGAAACCGCGCCTGAAGGTTGGCAGCACGGTGGGACTCTGGAGCCCGCTCCGCAAGCACTGGCTCCGCCTGAACCACGGGGACCTGGACAAGGGTGGCAACGTGATGATGCCTGACCAGCAGCCCAACTTGGGATATCAAACCGATTCTGTGCAATAGTTGGGTAGCATTTTACATTTATAAGCCCAATAAGGAATAGAAATTTCGAGTTTTAATCCTATCCCAACGATGAACTAGGATTGGGAGAAATTCTTGGTGGTGGATGCTGACAATGGAGACCTCGCGTTGTGGAACCCCTTCTTCAAGACCTTCGTGATGATCGAAAACGGAGATGCTCGAGCCAGTGCCGCCATTTATCCTCAAGAGCTCCCCAGCATCTGGCCATCATGCAAGTTCCAAGTCGTCCCAACCCACGATGGTTCCATCAGCTTGCACTTTCAGGAAGGCTTCCTGGCCATGGGCGCAGAGCCCGGTGCCGCTGGCGTTTTCCACACCGGTTGGACCATCCAGTCGCTGCCGGACGCGGCCGCGCTTTGTGGTTTACGAAGTGAATTCTGGCGGTCCAAAAGAGGACCCTCCACCGGTCGGATGGAACTTCCAGATCACGAGGTGAGCTTCAGATCCCATCCCAATGGAAGGACGAGGCAAAAGCATCGATTCTTTCCACACGCAGCCTTGCCTGGAGGAACGCTGCCGCAGACGCTGCCCGCATTGACACAAAAGGCGTGGCTCTGCAGCGTTGTAGGCTGAGATCTCTACGGAAGTTTGGAGCAGTTCGGAGCCAGAGCGGTTTTGACGCACCTTTTCGTTTGTGTAGCTGCAATGAGTTCTGCTTGCTTCTTCTTCAGTGCCAAAGCATAGGTTGTAATAGATGTAAACTTTATGTATTGAACATCAGTTTGTGGAATATGCCTCAAAGTGAACCCTAACCTCGGTGTGGCAATTTTTTCTACCCTTCTCGACCTGACAGCAAGGAAGCCAAAGCTCAACCAAGCCGTATCTCGAAACACTCATGATGTGATCGTTGGCAAATGACACTTCAAGCGGCTCTACCGGGATCTCTCGCAGCAGCTTTTGCAGTGAGGCCAAGACAATCCTCCGATAACATGTGAACCGATCCACCAGAATCTAGCAAAATATTCGTCACATCGTCCATGCTCACTGCTGGCAAAGCTAGGCTGGGCATTACAAGAGACCGCTCGCAAACACTCTGAGGCGACGGCACGAGGCGAAACGGCTTCCAGCGACAGTCAAGGCTACTAATAGGCATGCGCAGAATGACTGCCAACCACTTCCCAAGCAAACGACCAACCGACAAAACAAGCATCCTACCATGAAAATCATGAAAAGCGTTAAAACCATGGCAGTCATGGTGCAAAACAGGCTTCTCTCATAGGCTTCAGGCAGCAATTGCCCGGTCACTGGCAGGATCGACGAAATCAAAAGAGCAGCCTTGCCGATCTTCCCAGCCCCTTTCGCGGAGGATGGTGGCGGGGCTGTCGTCATCGGAGGCGGTGGAGGCGCTCCTTGCTTGGGTGTTGCAGCGTTCGCCGCACTCTGAGCCGCTGTCGCAGCAGCTGCAGTGGCCGCAGCCTTCTCATCAGCAATGCGCTTGCGAAACTCGTTCGCCCAACGTGCAGGCTCGCGGCAGTAGTTGCAGGTCCCAGGCCTCTTCTGCTGCAGATTGAGGTCTGGGTACTTGGCGCCAACGCGCTTGCGGTAACGAGCAAATTCTGAGACCATGTGGCGAAAGATGTCCAGAGGTCTCCTAAGGTGCTTCGGTAGCACGATCAAGAGAGTAATAGTAGTCATAAGTTATAACTGTACCCCATTCCTCCCTAAACCCTACTACTCTAAACCCTAAACCCGAAAGGGAGCGCCTGTCCCTCAACACGAGACCGAACGGACAACTCATTGTCCAAAGCACGTCAAAGATCGTATAGCCCGCGGCTGCACCGTTCTGGCTTAGCTCAACAATTTTGTCAACACCACGCTGAAAACCAGCTTGCTTAAGCAGATGCCAAAGCTTCATGGAACGCGCAGCTTTACCCTTGGCAAGGGTAACCTGGCGAATCTCCACAGTACTTTCAATGGACTCCTGCAATTCCTCCGAATAGCGATCATCTGAAAGACAGAGCCATGATGTGAGCTCTTCGCGGGAAGCCGTCCAGGTAGCAATCTCCTCGTGGCGGGTTCTCATGCGATCCGCTGCCAACTGGGGAAGAGCAGGAATGTAAGTCTCCGCCCTCGTGCTTCGCAGACCTGTGTCCACATCCATCTTAATTAACCACTCCATCAGAGTCCACCTTGAGAGCGCTAACTGCATCGTCAGCAGTTGGGGCACTTGGTCCAGTTGCTGCCGCGCTTGACGCAGCAGACGCAGCGTTCGCACTCGCAGCGGCGAGCGACTTCACCATCTCGGTGAGCTGCGAAATCTGGCCCTGCTGTGCTCGGATCTGGTCATCCTGGGCTTGCAACATCTGCCTGAAAAGGTTGACAGTGTTGTGATCAGGGCAAGAACTGGAGCTGGTTGTGGAAGCCCTTGCTGAGGGTACGCCGGTTGAGGACCATAGTGCTGTTGAAGCTCAGGCTGTGGCTGAGGTACTTGTTGCAACGGTACTTGAAGTACTTGACCCATGTTCCCAAGAGTCTAGGTCTAGATCTCACAGGCCGGTGTGCACTCGGATTGGATCTACTTCCCTAGCGAGAGCAACGAGACGCAGTGACTCCCAAAAGCACGCATGCGCGGAACAAGCTGCGCCGAAAGCCCATGTGCAGCTGGCGATTTTCCGCCCAAATCAAGAAACTCATGAAATTTACTTTTGCGTAAAACGCTCACATGCTTGTTCCACTTTCGGGAAGATTGGAATACGATTCACGGGATTTGCCGCCCGCGCCTGCGATGCGTGCGCCTGTGAAACGCACCTTTCTCACTTCACACTTGCGTCTCCAGTGCTGCTGCTGTCGCAGGCCGGGCCCTTCGCCATTCGTGCTTTGAATGATATTCTTTATATTTATATATTCCAATTTCGCGAGGAGATCTCCGTTCCCAGCGAGCAGTTGCGGGCTCTTCTGTTTCGCAGACCTCGAGTTTCTCCTTCCCTCGCGCCGCACAGATGACGCTGCCACGGTGAGCTTGACATGCTTGGCGACCACCGCTTGGCTTGCGCTGCCTCTGGGGTCTTCGCCCGCGCGCGGTGCCTTTTGAGCATGCCGTCGCGCGAGTCTGTCGCTGACATGAACCTCCATGTGCCTGTCTCGTATGAGCAGCGCAGTGAGCTGGTGGTTAACGGCCTCCCTAGTCTTACCCTGGACCACCATTATGTGCCCACTCATGGCGCTGCGGGCCACCCGCACGCAGACGTCCAGCCGGCGCCAGCGGCATCAAACACCCAGTGCTCCAACGCGCATGGCGCTGCCGGCTTGCTGTTGTGGGCTTGGAGGTTGGCGGCAGGTTTGGTGCCGAAGCCTCCTCGCGCGACACCGGGCTGCCGCCGCTGAGGTCCTCCACAAGTGCCTGGATCTCGCGCGCTGGTTTGGGCTTTTCGCTGTCGTTTCCCAGCCTACGCCGCCTCGCTCCTCGAGCTGCCGCCCCTGAGCTCGGCGAGGGACCCTTGCCAAAACTACATATGGTGTTTTACCCCGGATCGACCAGCAGTAGACCGCCAGTGGCCTAACGCAGACGGATTTGGGACTATTTTCGAAGTTAATCGCAGTTATAACAAGGCGCGTTTACACAACGACAGGCTGCTCCCCAACACTGACGACCCTTGCGAGTAAGTTCATCATGCACGGACGGCCACTGTCTTACGAGATGCCCTTCGCAAATCTTCTAGCCACACCGTGTACCACGACGGGAATAATGGCATACCCCAAGCACAGCTGGAAGATGCGGGAAGCGCGGTCGACCCAACGACCAAGCGCAAGTTCAAGAAGAGCGCGCTCTAACAGTTGCGGTTGTTGCACTGGCAAGGTAAACGTGCCCGTGTCCATGTCAAATTTCTGCGATTTGCTACTCTCGGATCCGATTGCCTCCATGTTCCCCGAGATGTCGTGCATTTCCATCCCACTACCAGTTGCCAATCCCATTCGTGAACACAAACGTGTCGTCTCAATTCAACTCGTGATTGTTATTGTGTGGCTTCGTTATGCTTCGTTCAAAATCTTCACGTTGGCTCCCTTCTACAATTTTTCTTCTTACTGCAGATTTCCGTTGTATTTACGCCGTGTCTGAAGTCATTACTAGGTCAGCGACCAAGACGTCAAAGTCGCAATCTTGGCAGCTGATGCCGAACGCCCTGCTTCCAGTTGCTGCGTGGTTTGGCCTGCAGGACAACCACGACAGGTCTAACTTCTGATCATCTGCTGCAGAAACGTGCTCGAATGACACTTTATTCTATGATTCTATGACTCACATGTTGTTGGACATCAAGCTGTGATCGAAGTGCCAGCATCCCGTTGGCAGCCTCATGCAACACGGGCAATCATGGTGAAACACCACGGCTACGATCCTAGAGGAAATGGAAGTGTTGGTGCCACATAGGAAAACGAGGCCTCGAAGCATCAGAAAATCTCTGGCCACATCTTGTGCTTTGCATTTCCAGACTTTACTTGCTGGCACATTGGTCCAGCAAGGTGCGTTCGGAAATAGACGCTTACTCCGCCTGCGCTGACGGCTGCGCAACGCACTGGGCTTCCTGGTGCGACACTTGCTCGTCATCGCCCGCTGGTCCGGACGGCGGCGGGGGAGTCCAGACGCCAACCCAGACACTCTTTGCGCCATCGCCAAGGTTGCTGATGTTGGGGAGCTCCTCGCCGGCAGCGTTCCAGATCCGTGTCTTGCCTTGGGGCGGGCGGATTCTCGCCCGGTTCCAGAACGCAGACGCGAGAGCGTCGTAGAGCGTGCGGACGCGTTGAAGGGGCTCACTGCCGGTTTCGAACCGGCTGACGTGGTACGGCAAGGTCGGAGCATGTCCAATGCCAATGGCCCCGATTCCCGCGCTTGTTCCACCCACTTCCGCGAAACCGCACTGCCGCCTGCTCTGCAGTGCACCTCCCAGGCCATGCTCCGTTCGCAGTCTGGCAGGGCTGTGCCTGACCGCATGCTCATAGCACTGCGGCGGGGGCTGCGGCTGCCTTTGCTAGTCGCCCCACAAGAGGTGCGGCGAGCATCGCCACGGCTGCGGGCCGTTGTCGGCGAATGCGGCGACCACCATGCCGCACTTCCGCACCGGATCTTGTCGATCGCCGCCGCCTCGACTTTGTAGCGTGGAAATTTAACCTGTGCTGCGACGTCACGGTCGTGTCCCCGCTGACGGAGGAGGGGCGCCCTCAGCCTTCTGCCGCCTCGCGTGCACACCGCCTTTGTATCCTTGCGTGCGAGGCGGGGGCGATGGAGTGCGGAGTTGCTACGCCGGGCTAGCCGAGCCTGCGACGAGCGCGCGCTCGAGACGCACTTTACTGACCTTTTGCATGCGTCTCGTGCCCTGCTGCTCTCCCAGGCCGGGCCACACTCCGGCCGTGTGTTTACGGTCCTCCCCACCTCCGACGATGTCACTATCGCCAGCGCACCGTTCCGGGTCCTGCTGCTCCGATGGCTGCGCCTTCCCTTAGAGCTCTGCCCCCGCACTTGCCGCTGCGGCCGCAGCTTCGACCCTCTGGGCGACCACCGAGCCGCCTGTGCCACCTCGGGTGTCCTCCCGACCCGGGCGCTGCCGCTCGAGCATGCCCTTGCTCGTGTCTGCCGCGAG